ATAGTGATTAATCACAAAAACAGTATGTAATTATAGATGTGTTTTCCGATGGTCTTAGGCGACCCCTGTGAAAGGGTCGTTCGACCCCAAAGGGGTCTCGACCCACAGGTTGAGAACCGCTGCCGTAGAGGGTCCGGCTGTGTCCATGGAGTCAGCGCCACACGCCAGGACCGAACCCAGTCGGGCTCAGACTCACGAGCCCGTGTCGGTCACAGTGGGCACTTGGCCTATAGCCTTACCCACGACCCCGCCCCAAAGGAAAGACGGCTACTTCACAGGTGAGCAGACTCCGATCTGCTTCTTTGCTGAGTATTTTCCATCCAGAAATCGCCCCATTAGTGGGTCTCAACTTTGGTTGGAATCACCTGAGGAGCTTTGTAAAATACGGAGGCTGCGGGGCCGGCTCTGAGAAAGCCCTGCATTTCGATGAAAAGACGGGGTGGCCTCCCCCCACTGCTGACAGCTCTCAGCACCGTTGGACCCAAGAGGCCCCGGGACTGGGAACCCGCGGGCGGACGGGCGGGCAATGCAGCAGCCGCCGCGCCTTCACAGGGGGCCACCGCCCACCTCCAGCCCCGGTGGCCGTGGTCCTGGCAGACACGCAGAATCCCGAGGACGGAGGAAACCCTCCGTGTTTATGTAATTTTCTGCAGGGGAAGAGCTGCTGATTGAAGGAAGGGCGGGCAGCCACACTCCGGTAATTGCTCTCAACCCTAACGCTCTGGAGAGGCACCTCTGCGGCCCTGCCTGGGTTTAAGGCACAATAGGCCGCTGGTCCGTTTCCTCCCAGAGGGCCTGGGCGGGGCCGGTCTCCTGAGAGGGCGGTCATCACCTCGGCCGGTCAGCCGGACACCCTCCCGCTGAGTGAGAGGAAGCGAGACGTGCAGTCCAGGAGGCCCATCAACACCTGGGGACGAGACAGTGAGGAGTTCAAGGCTCCCCGTGACGCACACGCCCCTCAGCCCGGACCTGCTTCCCCCAATCCTCTCGTCGGTGAAGTTCCATCTCACTTCCTGGGCGGCACAGCTCTCGTATCTACTAGATTCTAGTAACTAGAATATGGGCCTGAGCCTGAGCCAATTCCACTTACACGAGAGGCACAACCCGTGTGATAGCGGCATTTTCCTCGGGAGGTCACCCTCCGACCCTTTTGTCATTTCCCAGGGGTGGACATCCTTCCCCCTGCGTTTCCCACAGTTCCTGCGTCTCCACCACACCCAGCGGGCCCCACCCTGCCCTGCCCGCCACTGCCACTGCTCCGCTTGGGGACCCACTGCTCCGCTTGGGGGCCGAGAACTGGGGAGGCAGCTGCAGGCAGGGCAGGGACTCGATCTGCTCCCCACCCCGAGCTGCTCTCCACCCCGAGCTGCTCCCCACCCCGAGCTGCTCCCCCCACCCCGAGCTGCTCCCCACCCCGAGCTGCTCTCCACCCCGACCTGCTCCCCACCCCGAGCTGCTCCCCACCCCAAGCTGCTGAGATGTGTCCGGAGGCAGTGATCCCCCTTCCTCCAAAGCTCACGGCCACAAAACCACCCACTTTCCACTCCAGGTCCGTCTGCTCCTTAGTGACCCGGCGTGACCTCCCAGGAGCCTCTCGTGGAAATAAAGGTCTGTGAGCTGCATCAGGCAGGTGGGTGTGCACAGAACTGCACCCTCCGTCAGCACCTGTGTGACAGGCGGGGCACTCAGGACCCTTTCCTCCCACAGGAGAGCGTCAGGGGCCTCGCACTCTCACCAGCGTCGCTGCCCACACGTCTCTGAAACAATCCCAGCAGGCACGGGGCTCAGCCCTCCCCTGACATGGTTCTGTCTGACGGGCCCAGGCCAGACACTCACAAGTTCAGCTCCTAAACTGGTTGGTGTCATGGTTTTTTAAAACCAGAAAAGGTGAAGGACAGGATGGTGAGTCTAGACCAGCCGTGGGCAAACTACGGCCCGCGGGCCGAATCCGGCCCATTTGAAATGAATAAAACTAAAAAAAAAAAAGACCGTACCCTTTTATGTAATGATGTTTACTTTGAATTTATATTAGTTCACACAAACACTCCACCCATGCTTTTGTTCCGGCCCTCCGGTCCAGTTTAAGAACCCATTGTGGCCCTCGAGTCAAAAAGTTTGCCCACCCCTGGTCTAGACTCAGGTCTGCCTTTCCGTGCCGGCAAGGGGCCCAGGAGTGGTTCGGCTGCTCCCAGGCCTGGCCCCTGGGCAGGCGGGCGGGGCTGGGCGGGCACCGCTGGTCCCCAGTTAAGAATCTCAGGCATGTGAACCACCCACACATCAAAGGAACTAGATCCGGGATTGCGGCTCCTCCTCCTCCCCTCCTGCTCCAGAGGCTCCTGCTGTGATCAAAGGGCCCAGCCGCCAGGAGGTGGCGATGATGTCAGATGATGTCACCCACCGCCTGGACGCAGGCCACCTAAGGTGCTTCCCTCGCTCACACCCTCCAATCCACTCAACACACAACGGCCTGAGCAGGTCTGAATAAAGTGACATTTCTTACTTTCTCGTGGAACTCACAAGAGAGAACCTCACTATTTTTATAGATTTTTACAAAAGTAATGATATTAGGGTTTTTTTGTTTTGTTTTTATTGATTTCAGAGAAGAAGGGAAAGGGAGAGAGAAAGAGACAAAGATCAATGATGAGAGAGGATCATGGATCGGCTGCCTTCTGCACACCCCCCACTGGGGATCGAGCCCACAGCCCAGGCAGGTGCCCTGACCGGGAACTGAACCCTGACCTCCTGGTTCATAGGTCAGCGCTCAGCCACGGAGCCACGCCGGCCGGGCTGACTTTCGGTTTCTGAATCCTCGAGATTAGAATGAAGTTCCCTCTTCAAAGGCATATCCTTCTATTTTT